ACGACCCTACCCTCTGCCTCCTCCTCCTCCTCCTCCTCCTCCTCCTCCTCCTCCTTCCCCTCCTCCTCCTCCTCCTCCTCCTCCTCCTCCTCCTCCTTCTCGCCGCGAGGAGGGAAAGCCAGGGCGACGGGGGAGAAAAGGGAAGCAACAAAAGCAGGCATGCAGAACTAGGATAGTTTCCTGCACGGGGCTTGCCTAGCAGGATTTTCGAGCTACCCGTCTGCCCACTGCACCACAGGAGCGCTCTAGAAAAAACCATGCTTGCACACGTACGCCGCAACGTGCACACAAGAGACGTTGCCTCTGGGTCTTCGCGCGGTCATTTTGCGGTCATTTTTACGACCTCGGGGCCATCTATGGGGTCATCGGGTCATCGAGGGGTCGTCGTGGGATCGTCTGTTGGCCGTGCTCGGGTAGTCTGTGGGTCTGTTAGAGACGTGGCGTGTGATCTTGGGATGGCATTGGGGTTGCCTTGAGGCCTTGCGGTCGGCATGGGGTCATATGTTGGGTCATTGGGTCGTCATGGGACCATTTCGGGATCGCTTCGAAAGGCATGTTCGGGGCAATATTTGGGTCTTGGCGCCCAGGGCGGGGTCGAGTCGGAAACTCTCGGATTCGAGCTAAGCCCAGAGCTCTCCGCCGCCAGCCCCACACATCCAGCCTATTGCATTTGATATCATTCCCTCGACCTGCTTTCCACTTCCTTTCGCAGTTATAAGAAGATGGCTGGCCACCTTGACTGAACACAGCCTTCCTCCCCCCGCTTCAGCCGCGCGCGGCGCGTCGCATCGTGTGGGTCGCGGGTAAGTCGCGGGGAGGTCGCGGGCGAGTCGCGGGTGTCTCGCGATTGCGCTTACGGCAGGTCGCGGTCGAATCGCGGGTGCGTCGCGGGGGCGGGTCGCAGGCGGTGGGTCGTCGCGGGCGGGCGGCGGGCGGGGCGCGGGGCGGCGACGACAACAATGACAAAAACAACGGCAACTCGCATTGTGAAGCTGTCATCCGCCCGCGCAGGAGCAGCGTGAGACCGTTCGGCCCCCCGCTATATAACTTAAACAACAACTTAAGCTTAAACATAAGCTTAAACCCACTACGGTTCGAGGACGAAATGGACAAAACATTGCTTATCATGTTGCTTATTATTTAAGCCAAAATCTGACGCATGTTGGCTTAAATATAGGATAAACTTAAATTTAAGCGATTTTCTAAATATAAGGTTGCTTTGAAACTTCAGGTGCCCCTTGACTGGATCGGCACGGGCAGCCTTGCCCTGGCGGAGGGGAGGCGGAGGCCGAGAGCCACGAGCAGGGGCGGGCGAGGGGGGGGGTGGCGAGGGCGTGCTGCCCCTGCGTTGTGTGGGCGCGGCGCTCCCCCGCTCGCCGGAGACCATCTGCGGGGCGCATGGCCTGCCTCAGGCCGGGCGCAGGTGCGACCCAAGGAGTGCTGCGCGAATCCAGTTTCGGGGGAGCGTAAGACCCGGGTTTGCCAGGACTCGGGTTCGCCATCGTTTTTTGACGACCGCGACTCGGATGTTGACGAGGAGGAGTTTTGTGGGATGTCTGCAGCGGGAGGCCTCGTCAAAATGCAGGCTCGGCCTCGTCATTTTTTTGACGACCTCGTCGGGGATTTCCGAGTCCCCCGTACCCGGGTCTTACGTCTCCCCGACAGCTGCACGCGTGGCAGCGCGCCGACTGGCCGAGGCGGCGCCGATCGAGCAGCAGCCCGCGGCGGTGGAGGCGGCGGCGGTCGGGGCATCAGACGCACCGTCTTCGCACACAGGGGGGGCCCGCAGCAGGAGGCGGCAGCACCTGCGGCGGCGGCGGCCGCAATCTGCCCAGGCCCCCGACGCCATGTTCCTGTTTTCGCAACGGGGGCCCCTATGGAGGCCTCGGCCCCTTCACCTGCGCTGGAGTGTCGTCCAGAGTGCAGGGGGCGCGCCAGCGAAGAGATCAGCCTGCCAGCAGGTGCACCACGGAGATTTCTTGTTCCCCAGCGATCCCGAGTACCAATTCGGGTGGATGGGTTTCCTGCGAAGTCCAGAATCGACCGAACAGCATGCCGCTCGATTTCTCTTAGCAAGAACTCTTATCTATGCACCCCCTGCCGTCGATTGACTGTCGCCGGGCCCGGGAAGGGCCCCCCAGATGCCGAAAAGAATTGCTAAAAACTCATTTGCGATGTTTCCCACCACGAGGTAGGGCTGCTTGCCGACTCCCTTGTCTCGACTGCGCTGGTGGGATGAATACTTCCCAGCAGATCTCGCCAGTCTTCGGGGGCTGCAGACATATCCATATCCACGGGATCGCGGTCGGGACTCCTCGGCCGCGACCCCATGGACACGGGGCGGCGTTGCGCGGATGCCCCGCTCGGAACGTGTCCACGGGATCGCGTATCCATGGGATTCCGACTTGTGACGCCGCCGGCGCTTTCGCCTGCGGTTGAGGCAAAAATAATCCATGGGATCGCGCCTCAGAATCCAGACCGCGAGGGTATGGATATGGATATGTGCGTCGCTCGTGGAGGCTGTTTGCGAAGGCAAAAGGCTTTTTGGCCCACGCACGACGCGAGGAGACCCAGCAACAGCGCTATAGATCTGACCGTCGGTGTCCGGCTGTGGTCCGTCTCGGGTCCCATGCAGGTATGGGGCCCCGCCTCACGTTGTATCTTCGGGGGGCCTCGCTTGTCCCCAAAGTGGTGCCTTTTCTTCTGCCTGACGCGGGCTCGAGGCGAACTCGACGCGGATTCGGCGTGTATTCGATGCGGATTCGACATGGATTCGATTCGGATCCGACGAATCCGACATGGATTCGACACGGATTCGGCGCCAGACAAGATCCTCCGAGGATGCAACGTAACACGCCCGTGGGGCCTGTGGTCTTGGGGCTGCGGCCGTGGTTGCATTGGGGCCCCGCACGCGGCATCCTGCGGTCGCACGGGCCCGAGGGTGGCTGCGCAGGGGCCCGGCACACACCGAGCCGAAGGGGTACCCCGCACAGCGCGGGGTCGGCCGCCCCCACGCTGTACCAGACGGCGGGGCACATGTGGTGCGCCGGTGGCGTCTCGGCCTTCACCAAAGGCCCGCCGCCGGGGTGGGCCGGTCGCGCGGCGGCGGGCGCAGGGCAGGGGATGAAGCAGTGGCGTAGCGCCCTGGCCTGCCTATAGGCCCGCCGAAGAATGTTCTACGAATTTCTTGCGTGGTCTGCACGACATGTCCTCAGAACATTTCTGGCTGAGACCCTCGTGTTCCCAAAGGTCGGGGTCATGTTCTAAGAACATTGCTGTTGTTCTCAGGCCATTTTCGGGCTCTCAGAACATGTCGTGGTAGACGAGTAGGAATGCCAGGACGGCCGGTCCCTGCTCAAGAGAGGATCGATGGCGCAGGTCGCCCGAGCCCCGCTCGAGGATCGAGCGCGGAGTGCTGGCCAGGAGACGGGAAGATGCCGATGCCGCTGCTTGTCCTGGCGAGCGCTCGTCGCCACGGCTGGATCCTCCTCGAGATGCATGATCAGGACGCACCCCAAGAGGGGTCCGGGTTCTGCTCCCCCCAGCTGTCGCGTGTTTGGCCCCGGAGGCATGCTTCTCGCAGAGCCGGGGTGCCGCCAATCCAAGGTCGCGACGGCCGGTTTTCAGTCTGTTGTGCCAGAGGCCGTGAAGGGCAGCATTCTGCCAGCGCCAGCAGACCCTCTCCCCGTACACTGCGGCGCCGCCCCTGGCGCGGCCTTCGCGGTCTCCCGGGTGCGTGGAGGCGTGCTTGCGATGTTTATGTTTATTCACGAGCGGCGAACCCATTCATATCCACGCCCTCGCGGTCTGGATTCTGAGGCGCGACCCCGTGGATATGCGGGTGCACGGATACGTTCCGCGCGGGGCATCCGAGGAAAACGATCCAGCATCGCGGGCTGGGTACCGCGGCATCGCGGGGCCCGGCCCGCGAGGCCGCGGATACGGATACGTGTGTTCGCCCACGGTTTGTGCTGTTTTTGCATTCCTGCAGCTCTGTAGGGGCGCCCGTCCAAGACGGTTCCGCGTATTCCAATGCAGCCCCTCTCGAGCCATCCCAATGTAGATCCTCTCACGACGGATGATTTTTCTTAATTTTCAGCCTCTGTCGGCCCTTGCTGAGTCTCGGGACCGTCAACCAAACTCAGGATGAAGAATCGGTCCTGGGGAATGGGTCGAGACCAAGGGGTCGCCAATGTGAACTTGCGGAGGCTGAGATTTGCAAGGGAAGGATATGAACATTGCAGAAGAGTGGGCTCTGTTCCTCTGCAGGGTCGCGCTGGACCTTGGATGCCAGGCGTTCACGGAAGCTCCTCCGTGCCAGTTCGGCTCAAGCCATTCGGGTTCGAGGTTGCTGGATTTTTGTCCTCACGGCCGCTAACAGCACCGTCTCCTCAGACGTCCGACGCCTCTTTCTGTTCGGTCCGCGCCCCCCGGGAGCTCCCAGCCCTTCTCCCGGGGTGCAGGCGGCCCGGAGTAGTAGGTCGACCCTGCCAGATCAAGGGTACCCTCGTGTCCTGTGTCTTGCGACCCATGCCTCCTGCATTTATGCGGCAGCGTGGCCCTCGGAAGGGTCTTGTGTCCTCTCGCGTGTCCTGTCCAATCGAGTCCGACTGTAGTCTCGCGTCCCGGATATCCTGTCCCGGGGTCCCTACAGCGGGCCCCGAGGAGGAGGAGGAGGAGGAGGAGGACGAGGAGGAGGAGGAGAGGACCGCAGTGCCTGTTGAGGGGATCTAGGGAGGCTGCGCGTGGATGCCAGGGTGGCCCATCACGGACCTGCCCTCGCCTGCAGACGGGGGTCAGAGGTGCCCCGGGTGGCCGATGGTCTGGATGAAGTGGGCTGCGCCCACTCCGCGGCGTCGTGGAGCCCGTCCAAGCCATTGGGGCCATTGTTTAACCCACCTTTCGTGGGCTGTGCCACACCAGATCTGACCCGCCTCAGCCTCCATTCGTAGCTCCCCTGCCTGTCCCCTTGGCAGCCCCCCCCGCGGTCTTCCCAGCAGATGCCGAGGACCGCAACGGCCACGCCGTCGGAGATCTGGGCCCCCAGACCCCCTCGGCTTCCCGCGATGGCGCGCTCCAGCTTCGGTGCGCTCGCCCTCGCCACGGCGGCCGCGTGGCTGCTCGCCGCGGCTCTCTCGCCGGCCTTCGCCGGCTCGCGGGCCCAGCCAGGCCCAGCTGCCCGGGGTGCCCGCGCGGCGAGGCAGGCCGGCAGCGAGATCATGCTCACCGCCCCGTCGATCGGCGGCCGCTACCGCGTGATCATCGACGAGAGCACCACGGTGGGCAGGGGGCGCGCGAGAGCAGCCCTTCGCTGGGGTGACATCTGCCGCCAGGAAGGATGAAGGGTCCTGGGGGAAGTGGGTCTGGAGATTTTGCTTAGTTTTGAGCTTCGCTGGGTCCTGCACGCCCCGGGACTGTCAGAAAAGGGCGCAGGATGAAAAGCCGGTCCCGGGAAAAAGTCCCGGGATCCAAGAGCCGTGTCCCTCAGGACCAGCTTCTTTCATGCCAAGTTTGGTGCGAGCCCCACATGGCCTCCTTGCACTGGCCTGCCTGCTCGCATTTGGCCCCCACGTGGCTTCCCAAATCCGCCCACCAGGGGTCGCTCTTGCTCGGGGTCGCTCTTGCGTGCTGCCGAGGTGGAATCGTGCCTCACCAAGTTCAGGAAGATCTTCGAGATCGACCAGGACTTCCTCCTCGACAAGGACTTCAACGTCTACCTGAAGGAGGACGAGAGCAAGCCGATCTCGGGCAAGATCTCGGACCACACCAAGCTGCGCCCCTGGGGACCGGACGGCATCGAGCTCCACATCTACTACGAGCCGAAGTGAGCGAGCGGGCGAAGGGAGCTGTCCTGCTGGCAGGGCTGAGGACAAGGTTTTTACCGAGCGTTGCCCAAGCGTCAGGCGAATTTGAGAAACGCAAACATGTTTGTCAGCGTGGACCACACGCATTGGGTTCTTGCACTCGAGATGGGCACTATTGCGGTGCAATGTCTGATGGCCTTGGGCCCATCCCGCCACCGTGCTTGGGTTGTAGGTCAGAGGCCTCTGGGATGCCTGTGGGGATCTCTTGGCTGGTTTCTCGGAAGCCTCTTGGATTCGGTTTCGGGGGGCCCTGGGAGCCTCTCGGGGTTTCTTGGGGGCCTCTCAGGGCCTGACTTGGGCCGCTTGGGAGCCTCCTGGAGCTTGTGGGGGACCTCTTGGGGGCCTGCTGGCGGTCTCTGCGGCCATCTTGGGGCGAAAGGCTCAACATGTCTGTTCGTGTTCCCCCTCTGGGGAGTATGTTGGGCCCCTTTTGGGAACCCATTGGGCCGTCTTGGGGGCCTCTTGGCTTGTCTTTGAGCCATATTGGGCAGTTTGGGTCGTTGTGGAGCGATCTTGAGGGCTTTTTGAGCCGTCGTGGAGCGTCGAAAGCCCGAAACGGCAAGACAATTCAGATCCTTCGAACACCTGCGGAGGATCAACGATTTTGGCATCTCGGGGCCCTCTTGGGGGGCCTCTTGGAGCCCTCTTGGGGCGTCTTGAGGCACACGCCACTTCAGGCCTCGAGGCACGATGACGAATGGTATTATACAATGTGTCTGGCGCAAGTTGGAACAAGCTATATTGCAAGCTGTGGGGGTTCATTCTATCTTGAACAATGCATGGAGCCCTGTGCCTGACATCTGCGGTATGGGTGCAGGCCATGGGCCCGAAATATGTGGTGCAGGCACTGCGGTGCAAGCTGTGCGCTGCCAGCTATGCGGTGCAAGCTGTGCGGCGTAATCTATGCAATGCAGTCTCTGCGGTGCAAGCCGCGTGTGCATCAAGGAGCGCCAGCTGGCGCGCGGGTCGGCCGCGAGGCGGCCACGGGCCGCCAGAGGAAGGCCTGGAGATGCCGGCCCGCGCACGTGGCGGCCACGAGGCAGCGACGAGGCGGCCACTGGCGGCACCACTCGCCCTCAGAGGGTCGAGCAAGAAGCAGCGGCATCGATATGACTTTTCGGAGCCACGCGCAGATTGCTTGGCGCTGCAAGCCCCTGGCGGAGCCTCCGTCGCCGCCCCTGGCGCGCTGCTCGCGCCACAACGGGGGTGCAGCGCTGATCCAATACATCCGCTCGGACCTGTGAAGGTTGATCTACTAATCCCCCTCTTTCTTCTGCTGCAGGGGGGACGCCTTGCATTGCGGTAATCCGCCTGCTGGTTGGTTCTCTGCATTTTGCGTTCATTCGCTCGCATTTCTCAACCTCCGTCCTCCTCTTCTGTACACGAGCTGACTCCAGCATATAACTGCCTCCGAATCGCCTGGCCTTCTCATCAACGTTCGCATCCCCTCTTTCCCTTACCTCACTTCGACTTGCCCACTTCGTTCACGATTCCAATCTTCCCACACGCTTCTTCCACCCATTCTTTCCACGTCTCCACTTTTCGCACTTCCCGCCAGCGCGGCGGGGGCAGCTTTGCACAGCGGTGCCCCACGGACATCTCGACATCGGATCGCCTTTTCATCCAAGGTCATGCTGTGAGGGCCCTGGGGCCAGAAACGGGCTTTCAGATGCCAAAACCCTCGGAAACGCGCCCGTGATCTGGGGTCATTGGACGCGGGCAGATTCGAGGGGTTCCGCCAAGAGCGGGAAACCCGCCGACGACCGCCAATCCTCCCCCCCCCTCCCTCCCTCCCTCCCTCCCCCCACCTCCCCAATCCTTCTCCCCCTCTGCTCTCTCCACCCCTCCCCCGGATCTGCCTCCCCCTGCCCTCCTCGCAGGCGCGAGTTAGCTGACTGCGCCGACACTGGCCAGGCCGGTCCCGCCTCTGGGGCTCGGCCTCCTGGCCGAGCCGCCCGAGCGGCGTGTGCACCGACACCTGCACCAGGAGCTGTCTGGCCAGCGTGGGTGTACAGAAGGGGATCGGTACAGCCGGCACCCTCCCGGCCTCTCCTCGTTGTCGCCCGCAGCGAGGGAGGGGGCCCGAGGGTCGAGAAGATGCAGCACGGGCACCACCAGCAGGGAGGGGTCCAGCGTCGGCGAGGAGGCCCACGCTGCCTGCCCGATGCCTGCCCGAGCGGGGGGCACGAGGTGCATCGAGCAGGGTGCCGGAAGGCAGCGGTGCCGCGCCACCTCGAGGGCTCTCCCCCGCACCGTGGCGAGGGCCCCATGGCATCCCCGCGCGTCAAGGTCTTTCGATGCGCGGGCCCCCCCGGGGACCTCTCGACCCCCGCTTCAGGGGGGCCCAGCGTTTCACCCCGAGGCGCTGTGCGACGGCCTTGGCCTCGTCGACGTTGCTCGAGGCGCCAAGAGGTCTGGGGGGGGGTGCCGGTGTCGTTGTCCTGGCCCCAGCCGAGGGCAGGAGAGTCCAGGCCTCGTCAGGCCTCCCGGGCGGGGCCAAGGTACAGTCAACCCGCATAGTAAGGATGGGCATGCTTCCCAAGGGCACCCTTGCATCCTTGCCTCCTCGGTCCATCCTGGGCAACTTTCGCTTTCGTTGGCCGCACCCTGCTCGAGAAGCTCCAAAATGGGCGCCCAGGGCCCGTGCATCCTTCTCGCGCACCCTTATGATACGGGCCGACTGTAGATGGGGTCGCAGGATCCCGCAGCATCGTCGACGAATCGGCGATGCGGTGCGGTTCTCTCCGACCCCATCAGTTTTGGCCCCCTCTTGGGAGGCCTCCACCAGCCGAGTGCCCGGACCTCCGACGTCGTGTGTTTGTTGCTTCTTGCAGCGTGGGCCCCCCCTGGAGGAGGTTCCACACCCTCTCTGGGAGCGTGACGGTCCCGGTGCCCAGCAAGCTTTCGCGAAGGCAGGAGGTTGCCCAGCACATTCCGTCCTTGCTATTTTTCCCAGCGCTGGGGGGCAGGGAGGAACGGGCGAAGTCAAGTTCACGCTGGGCCCCCCTGCAATTAAGTCGGGCGTGTCCCCCTACAGAGGGAATGCTCAAAAATAGTCAAAAATGGTTTGCGGACGACTGGTTGACTATTCGATCTTGATTAGTTTTGAGCATGAACTGAGAATCTTTTGTTCTTTCCTCACAGGTCCACATGTAGGAGGACACGCCCGACCTAACCTTGCGAGCGGCGGGTCCCCGGCGCCTCGCCCAGCCAAGGCATGCAGGCGACCGCCGTCCGGGACGCCATCTTCGGGGGCGTATACGCCGCGTGCAGGCCCCTCCTCTCCCCGCCCTTCCCTTGCGGCCTCCAGGGTCTGAGGCCGCCTCCTCCCTCCTCACCCCTCCTCTCCCACCCTTCCCCCTCCCCCGCCTCCCACCCCTCCCACCCCTCCTCCCCCTCCCCCTCCTCCCTCCTCCCACTCCTCGCCCCTTCTCCCTCCTCACTCCCGCCTTGCTGCCCCACTCCTTCCCACAGGACCGGAGGGGTTGATGGCGGCTTGACGACGAGAGCTCGCAGAACCCCGCCATGCTTGCGTCCCACCACCACCTCCTCTCTCTCGTCGAGGGCGCTCCGGGCGTGCTACGCAGTCATTCGTGTGCGAGTCTTGCCCAGTCTACCGCCGCGTCTCACAGTACGGAACCAGGGGCGGGGTGCATGCTCGGGGCGGCGAGCGCATCATGGTCGACTCTCTTCCGTGGCCTCTCCCCCATCGGCCTATTCCTGTTGCCTCCATCGGTATGGTAGCAGTCAGGGCTGCGTGTCCTAGCACACGATGCCATGCGGTGGGCGCGAGTTGTACAATTTGCTGGCATGCGCGGGCAATCGCACTCCCACGTGGTGCGATTGATCTTTCCCGGGACCACAGAGCCACCGCGACGTACGTTCTCCAGGTTGCATGCGTCATCTCTCCCTCCCTTCCCCTGCCCTCTTCTTTCTTCTCTTTCACCCTTCTCCTCCTCCTCCTCATCCTCCTCCTCTGCGTCCTCGTCCTCCTCCTCCTCCTGCTCCTCCTCATCCCCCTCCGGCAGTAGCAGGAGCAGGAGTGGCAGATTTCAGGCGGGAGCTCTCTCGCAGGCATCTGGCGTCGCGTTCTTTCGAGGCACGGGCCCCCGACCTCTCGAGCACCTCCCCGGGACCGGCTTCGCATCCCGAGTCGTTTGCCGGGGCTCAAGACACGGGGGTCAATGCAAACGGGGGTCATCCAGGGCACCGGATCCTGCAGGATCCTGCGAAGACCCCTTCTTGTCTGACCCGGGTTAGCGAGCCGCTCGTGGCCGACCTGGGTTTGCGAAGGCCTGCGTTGCAGTTTTTGTTCTTGCTTTGCAGTTTTTGGGTTCCCTGCTGACCCGGGTCTGGATTGACCCGGGTCAGAAGATCCCCGAGTTTGTGGACCCCCGGGGCCAGGTATTAAAGGGCCGCGAGGGGCCGCAGGCTACGACAAGCTGTGCGTCTCGATTTGGTTCGAGGCGCCGGATGTCCGGGGATCATCAGGGGAGGAAAAAAGTCACCGGACCTGACAAATGACGCTTGCTAAACGGCCCTGGGCGTTTACTAAACAGCCGTGCCCAGTTCGATTCCTTCCTTGGGTGCGTTTACTGAACGGCTCCGCTTGTCGGGGTGATTATTCTGGAGGGGGGGGATTCTCTCCCCTCCAGATCGTCAGATCTGCGTTGTTTCTTTTGGGCTGCTGCCCGAGGTCGGCAGGCGGCGCCATCGGCAGCGACGGCCGCGCGCCGCGCGGCAGCCTGCCGCTGGACCTGGCCGCCGCGAGCGCCGCCACGGTGCTGTCCTCGCCCGTGAACTACGCGAGGACCGCGGGCGTGTTCTGGGCGAGACGCTCAGAGGATGAGCGAAAATGATGACGGGAGGTTTTTCGCCATGTTCGGCCTCTGGGGGCCCTTACTGGGCCTCGGGACAGTCAAAAAGCGACTCGGGATCGAAAACCGGTCCCGGGGAAGTGCTCGAGAGGTCGGGGTGTTGACGTGATGACACAAATCATGACGTCGAGGGTCTGGGGAGGGCGCGGGCTGAGATGCTCAGAGGACTCGGAAGGCATGGCGCCTCAATTGCTTCGAGCTGCGCGTGTTTGCCAGGACCATCACGGATCGATCCGGCTCGTAGAATGGCACAGCAAGATTGGGTCTAGGGCTCCAGTCATGATTCTTATCATGTTTCCCGTTGAGACGACGGTGGTTGGCCTTCGGGGGGGCCCTTGTCGTCACGGCTGGGAGGGGGGGGGGGCAGCCGTGCCCGGCGCTCTCCGAGCCAGTCAGTCCCCCAGATCGGCGGCGACATCCAAATTTTACCCTCGCCGATCAGCGAGTCAGGCAACTCGATGGGCGGCGGGGTCAGGGTTTGGAATTCGTTGAACACGCGTGGCGAAATCCGAACCCTACTCCCGCCTCTCACCGATTCGGGAAAATCGAGGGTTGGCGGGGGTAGGCTTTGGATGCCCCCACCTACCACACCTCCGACGTCGTGATCTTGGCTCGCGGCGTAGGCTTCCAGAGGCCTGGGCCCGCTCTTGGTGAGCCGGCGGTGTGCGGCCCCGAGCAGTCCTGCTGTGAGCCCCGGGTTCCCCGCGGGCTGAGGACGGGCAGAGCCCTCCCATCATGACGTTGCCGCCCCGAGATCCGACGGCCCGAAACACTGCAGCATCGTGGAAAGTCACGACCAGAGCCCCAGGCTCCATCTTTTTCTGCTGAGGAAGAGGAGGAGGAGGAGGAGGAGGAGGAGGAGGAGGAGGAGGAGGAGGAGGAGAGGAGGACGACATGAGGAGGGGGGGAGGAGGAGAGGAGGAGTAGGAGGAGGAGGAGGAAGACATGAGGAGGGGGGGAGGAGTAGGAGGGAGGAGGAGGAGGAGGAGGAGGAGGAGGAGGAAGAGAGGAGGAGGAGGAGGAGAGGAAGAGGAGGAGGAGGAGGGGAGGAGGAGGAGTAGGCGTAGGAGAGGAGGAGCAGGAGGAGATGAGAGGAGGGGGGGGAGGATGAGAATGAGGATGAGGATAGGATGAGGATGAGGAGGAGGAGGAGGAGGAGATGATGATGATGATGATGATGATGATGATGATGATGATGATGATGATGATGAATGATGATGATGATGGTGATGATGATGATGATGATGCTGATGGCTGATGTGATGATGACGATGATGATGATGATGATGATGATGATGATGATGATGATGAGGAGGAGGAGGAGGAGGAGGAGGAGGAGGATGAGGAGGAAGAGGAGAAAGAGCAGAAAGGAGAAGGAGGAGGAGGAGGAGGAGGACAGAGGAGACGATGATGATGATGATGATGATGATGATGATGATGATGATGATGATGATGATGATGATGATGATGATGATGATGAGGAGGAGGAGGAGGAGGAGGAGGAGGAGGAGGAGGAGGAGAAGGAGGAGAAGGAGTTGGAGGAGGAGGAGGACCTCAGGGCACGTTCGCTCGACGTCAGGACCAGGAGGCCTGCCCCCTCGCCCCCCTGCCAGGAACATGTCGTTCCACTCGCCCGCGGGCGAGGCCGCGCCTGGCATCGGGCACTCCCTGCGGCACCTGTGGAGGGACCCTGCCCGCGGGGCTCGCGCGTGCGTCGACGCGCCGTGGGGGAGAGTGGGCGGAGGGGGCAGCCTGAGGGCGGCGACTCGATTGTGACGTTGCTCGAGCTCTCGCTGGCTGGAACGCTTGAGGAGGCCCACCGACATGAGAGGAGTGGCGACGGCGACGACGACGACGACGACGACTCAAACGGAAAAGCCCCTCACACACGCCGACAGGGTCGGCGTGTTTTAGAAATCTCGCCCCGAACCCGCATTTCCACGTGACCACGCGGTGCATTCGCGTTGATCTAGCATGCGTTCGCTGCGCGACTCCGTATCGACTAGTACCGAGCAGGCCACATGCGCGCGCCGCCGCCCGCGCGTGTTGAACTCCGTCCCAAGCCATTGGTCCTCTAAGCATCTCTGGATGGAGCTCTGCACAAATACATGGAAAGCATCGTCAGAAAGTTTGCCACAATTCTTGGATGTATGCGCGCGCATTAGCTCATCACCCTCATCAGCACCATTGCATCGCCGCCATTATCGCCAAAGTCAATCGCACCACTTGCCGCCATCATCAGCACACTCATTTCCACCATCAATAGTCGTCGTCGTCGTCGTCGTTATCGTCGTCACCAACATCAGCACCGTCATTTGCCTTGCCGTCGTCATCGTCACCATCGCCACCAGCATCGCTAGTATCATCATCGTTGCCGCCGTGGTCCACGTCTTCCTGATGTCGCGCCCGCCCAGGTCACCGACCAGCACCGAACTGCCCGCGCGCGAGCGTGTCCGTTGAGACGCGCTTGGAAGTTCCCATCGGTAAGCGCCATCGCGGCCGCATCGGTTGCGCCAAGCCAGCTGGTTGCTCTGCGCGCAAACTTGCGCGGTCATGGAGACGTCCACGCAAGTTCCGATCGGGAACCGCCATCGCGGCCGCATGGGTTTTTGTTCACACAGGTTGCGAGTGGGAGGGTGGGATGCCTACGCGAGCTGTGGAGTTGACGACTTTGCGCTCTCCACAGGGCACAGGGGACAGTACCACATATGGGGCGTTCCAAAAAGGGCCTTGCCTTCGAGGGTCGAAGGAGATGCCATCTCTTCCGCGGCGGAAGGCAGCAGACGGGCGGCGGAAGGTCGGCGGAAGTAAACGAGGCCGCCTCCGCCGGCGGTAGCCGGCGGAAGCTCGGCGGAAGGCGGCGGAAGCAAAATATGTGCCCCCAAGAGATGACAACCTTTTTGGGTCCAGGGCTTCTGGCGCCAAGGAGGGCGCACCACGTATAAGATGTCGCCTGCAGTAGCCAACCGCGTGTGGTTTGGTGGCGTTCGCACGGGCAGCCGTGTCCTTCTCTGGCCCTCGAGAGGGCACCGTGGCCGCCACTTCTTCGGGCCTGCGCCCGCCAGGTCTGGTCCTGGGCCGTCGTCACTCGAGGCTGTCTGGGGCTCCCCCAGGCATAACCCCTTCAAAACCAGCCCACGACCTCCACCAAGGGCCCATCTGGGTTCGTTTTCGGGGACACGTCCCGCCACGGCAGCGAGAAACTTCAGAAACGGCCAGAAGCATGCGGAACAACGTCTTCGACGACGTGTTCCCCGGGTCGCGGCAAGCTTGCAGCGACTGGAAACTCCAGCAACGCCCACAGACTTCCAGAGCGACGTTGCCGATGGCGTCGTCCTTGGTCCGGCCTGGCAAATTTTGTGACCGAGCTGTGACAGAGGAGTTTTCCACGAATACCCGGACTTCGAGGCTGGGGTTTTGTCATCTCCACCGTTTGGGGAACCGATCTTCCGACATCTCGGGATGCATTGGATCAACCAAACAACAAATGACACTACCCCACCTACGGCCTTCCACGTTGCGCTACGGAGCATCGGGGTCCGTAGCTTACACCACGCTAAAAACCAAGGCCAGCGTTCATGGTATGTGCTAAGGCACGTGCGGCCATAGGCGGGGTGGTGTCGTTTGTTCTTTGGTCCAGTGGATGTGGATGCACAGTCGGGCGTTCCGTGTTCAAGGCTACCCGTACATCTATTCCCTCCAGGGGTCGTGTACCCAGACTCCCGACGTTGCGTTTTTTGTTTGTATTGTGTTGCAGCGGTCCCTGGAGGTCTGGACTCTCTCCCTGGGGACCGCCTCCCCATCCCCCATCCTGGGTCATTTTTGAGGGTCCCGGGGCCCCCTGATAAGGGCCCCGGGGTGCCGAACGCCGCCAGAAAACGCGAGCCGTGCTTGCTGACACGACGCGAGGAGGTCCTGCTATAGACCCTGGCCTCGTGCATTGCCTCGCAAAAGACGATGCTGGTCGCCGCCGCCTGCGCGCAGGACGCGCAGAAGCAGCGGCTGGCCCACGGCGCGCGGGCAGCGGCGGGGTACCTGCAGCTCCGCCTCGGGCACTCGCCTCGGGACCCTGTGCTGGTGCTCGTCGAAACCCCTCCTCTCGGGGAAACGTAAGATTCAAGTGCGCCAGAACTCGGGTTTGCCGACGCTTTCTGACGAGCCCGTCCTGGATTTTGACGGTCCATTTTTGTGGGATATTTGCATCGGGAGGTCGCGCCAAATTTCAGACTGGGTCTCGTCATTTTCCTGACGGCCCCGCCAGGCCAACGCGAGTCCCCCGAACCCGGAGTCGTATGCGTCTCCCCGATCTTCGCCATTGCCGCCGCCGCCGTTGTCGCCGCCTCCGCCGTTCCTGCCGTAGCTGGCCGCACGGTGCCCGAAGGCGGCCTCTCCTTGCGCGTCGCGGTCATTCCTTGCGCGTCGTCGTAGGTCCATGCGTCGCCGCCGCCGCTACTGCTTCTGCCACTGCTTCTCCTACTCTCTCCTGCCCCTCCTCCTCTTCCCCTCCTCCTACTCCTCCTCCTCCTCCTCCTCCTCCTCCTCCTCCTCCTCCTCCTCCTCCTCTTCCTTCTGCGGTCACTCCTTTCTGGCGCGTCCATGCATCGCCGCCGCCGTCGTTGTCGCCCGCCTCCGCCGTTTTCGCTGGCGGCGCCGTCGAAGTCGTCTCGCCATTGAGGAATAGGGCTCTTGGTGGAAGCAGGTTCTGAACTCCCGAGGCTTCCCTAGGACCAGCTCCTCATCCTGAGTCGTTCTTTGGACACGGGGTCCAGGAGCACGGGTCCATAGTTCTGTCACGCTTAAACGGAAGAGGGGGGACATACATGCGGCCGAGCGCTTCGAGGGGAAGCCGGTTTCTTGGAATCTTACACCCTACGAGACGGCCTTTGTCCTTCTACCACGCCTGAGCGCATCAGGGGGCACGGTGGCGGATGTGGTGCAGCCTATGTGGTGCAAGCTATGTGGTGCAACCCACGTGGTGCAATCTATGCAGTGTTAGCTATGTGGTGTGCTTCAGGTGCAAGCTATGTGGTGCAACTGACCCAGTCAACAATGAGTTGTAAACCACACTGCTCTCGCACAGATCCCACCCTCCCGCCCGAAACTTGCTCGGCAAAACCCAATAGGCGACGATTGCGGTTAGCGCGTCTCTGCGGCCACTTTGGCGCGCGCACGCTCCCGCGTAGATCGACCAGCTGGTTTGGCACAGCTGACGCGGCCGTGATGGGGCTTACCGATGGGAGCTTTCGAGCGTGTTCCACAGGTCGCGTTGGCGAGCGGGAAACTTAGCACGGGTGGATGATTCGGGCGAGCGCGATATCAGGATGACGTCGACGGAGGCGGCAAAGATGCTGATATTAGCGATGGTGCGTTGGCAATGATGACGATGACAGCGGCAATGCCAATGACGTCGCGGATGTTGGTGACGATGCTGGCGGCAAGGGCGGCGATTGACGATTACAGCAACTGCGGTGGAGCGCCGGCACCGATGAGAGTGATGAGGACGTCTGCGCGCTCCGCAGCCAAATGATTATGGGAAGCTTTGTGTTCGACATTTCTTCACACGTTTCTGAAAAGCTCTATTTTGAGCAGCTGCGCAAACCAATGCTTTTGGACGGGATTCGATGCGCGCGCGTGGCGGCGCACGCAAGTGGCTCGCATGGTGGCATTTGGTATGGATGCGCGCACTGAGCGCAATCTAGATCAACGCGGATGCTTCGCGTGGTGGGAAAAGAATGCGGTTTCTGGATGGGGTTGCTAAAACCATTTGGTTTCACATGCGTTCAGCACGTGCGCGCGGGCATGACATTCGCAAATGTTTATGCTGTCAGGCTTGCAAGGCTACGTCATGTGTTTGGTCTTATCTCGACATGTTTCGTTGCCGCTTTTGGGGGGTCCGCCGAGCATTCGCCACGCTGCCACCCGTTGCCGCCTCGTTGTCGCTTTTGGGGGGTCCGCCGAGCATTCGCCACGTTGCCACCCGTTGCCGCCTCGTTGCCGCTTCTGGGGGGTCCGCCCAGGATTCTCCGCGTTGCCACCCGTTGCCGCCTCGTTGCCGCTTCTGGGGGGTCCGCCCAGGATTCTCCGCGTTGCCACGCGTGGCCGCCTCGTTGCCGCCTCGTTGCCGCTCGGAGGGTCCGCCGAGGATTCGCCACGTTGCCGCCCGTGGCCACCCACTGTCGCTTCTCTGCCGCGTCATCGCACGGCTTACGCAGCACAGCCTGCACAGCATAATTCGCACGACACAGCGTGCACCACGCAGCGCCCCCGCTGCATAGCCAACACCACGTCGCTTGCACCACACGGCTTGCATCACATCGGCTGCACCACATAGCTTACACCACATGGCTTACGCATCCACAGTACAAGACTTTCATGCTTGGGCACCGCGCTGGCAAACATTGCACTTTCGTGCACGGGGTTGTTCGAAACATCATCTTTGAGATGGGCGGGTGTGCGAGCATGGTGACATCTGATTGGGATGACGGGGGGAGCGATACTGGCTGGGCTGGGATAGCATGATCCCATCTGGAGGGCATGACCTCGAGGCAGAAGTATACGCCAAATGCGGTGCCCAGGGGGGCCCGAGAAGTCCAGGCTCGGGGAGGCTGGTGGAGTGCACCTTGCATCGGGCGAACCCCCGCCAGCTCCCGCCCGCGAGGCGCCCACGGGCGGCCACGGGCGGGCAGGAGGCGCCCCCCCCCCCTCCCCCCCCACACCCGCCCTGCACACGGGGCGGCCACGATGCGCCCAAACCTCTGGCCACCACCAACCCCCAGAACCGGGCAAGACCCCCGCACACCCACCAGATGATCTCGGACGCATGCAGAACCCCCCAGTGCGAGCACAAGCTTGGGACAGTTACCTGCAGGCGGCGCGCAACGTGACTATGCTTGCCAGCTTGCGGAGCATGTCATGCACTCGCCGCTGGCATGGGCGAGGGGTCACGGCGCCGGCTGACGCAAATACCACCTGTGCAGACCAGGACTTTCTAGTGTGGCTCCACTGGCCCCCGCGCTTGCATGACCCCCTTTATTACTCCTGCTTTGCCCTGTGCCCCTCCCCCCTCTTGAGTTGCAGCGGCATGCCCCCCCCAGCGCTCCGAGGCTTGGCTGGGGCACCGCCCGCGTGGGCCTTGGCATGTCCCTGGGGCAGCAGATGTACGACGCGGCGATGCGGATAGGCCGCGGGCCTACTCTGCCGGGCGGGGCCGGCGGGCCCAGGCGGAGGAGCTGCGTTTCGTTGGCGTGTGCTGTGTCCGGCACCGCCCAGACATACGCTCACCGTGTGCGCGTGGGCCCCCGCAGGGGCGGCGCGCACCCTCTGAACTCGCTTGGACCTGCGCGCCCGACAATGTCTAGGCTATGGAGGAGGAGGAGGGCTCAGGGGCGGGCGCTTTCTGGCCATGCCGCCTGGGTGAAAGGCTACGCTTCGATTCTGGACTGCTGCCTGTTCGCTTCGGACCTGCAAGACCGGCGAGTGGCAAACATGGGTACGGGCGCCTGGATTAGCGACGGTCTCCGTTCCTCACCACCCACCAAACCACCCCAACCCAACCCGAAGGCTCAGATTTACCCTCGATTTCCAGTGGGGGGGGGTCGGGAAACGTCGAAAAAACACGTGTGGAACCCTTACCCCCCCCCAACCCGAAATTCGGGTCTTCGGGTTGGGTTGGGGTGGTCTGGTAGGTAGTCAGTTCCCATGCAACATCAGCGCGCTCCGTCGCCAAATCAGGCGGCGCTGGCCTCAGTTTCGGGGTGTGCCCTCCCCTGGTGCATGGCTATGGCGCTCACCCGCCAAATCCATGGACCTGTAATGTACGCTGGCGTGTGGCCAAGAAGAGAGCTTCCACGGACGGGGCCGGCCAGGCTTAGCTGGTCGGATCCATGAGGCGCAGTGTGCAGCGTCGTTGCCGCACCCTCGCGCAGCTTCAGAGTCCCAGGCGATCAGGGAAGAGGGTGGTCAGGGACAATGGCTGATTCGGGCCTCCCGCTGTTGCACCATAGCCTTCCTGGATTGCACTTTGCCCCATGTTCTCCTCGTCGCATACTGCCGTGTGCAGATGCTTCCCAGTGCTCTCTGGGCGCAGGAAGTAATCCGGATCGGAGAGTTATTACAGATCACAGTTGGAAGCCCCAAACAGGGCCTTTCTTGGGCCAGGTTTTGCTTGGACACCTTGGCTGCCCAACATGTGACTCGCTCGCATCTGTTAGTAATCCACCGCGCCAGGTGGGCAATCTCATTCCGCGCCGATCTCAGTGCGTGTTGCTCAGCCTGTTCAGCCGATCGTTTTTGATGTCTGTGCTGACGGTGGCCAATGATCGATGTGCCCGATCGCATGCGCCCTTGTCGCGAGGCTCAGGTTAGTGTGTTGCCTCTTGGGCACAAACGCGCAGTGCAGGAGCTCTTTTTCAAAGCCCTCTGTTAACCTATCCTTCTTTTGTCTCCTGCTCCTCGCTGTCGTCTCGGCTGGCCCCCCCCGTCCTGCACCATTTGCTAGCACCTCCCCTCGCTTCCCATTAAGTTTACAAGTTCCTCCACCTCCTTGTCGATTGCAGGCCGACGCGGAGGACAGGAAGCCCGGCACCTGTGAAGCTTGTCGTTGCCCCAAGCGCTCCTCGTTCGCCGTGGACAGCAGGCGTGCAGACATAGAGAACAACAGATCTCACGAGCCGAGCTTCCGATCTGCCATGTTTCCAGCCTGCCCATCTTGAGTGCCCTCTGCGCGGGGGGGGGGGGGGGGCGCGGTTGTGGGGTTTAGGGGTGTGGGGCCCCAGACGCGGTGAGAGGCCACGCACGCAGCAGCGGACCAGCTCAAGCCGCGGCGGGTGGGGGGGGAGGAGCAGCAGGAGCAGGAGCCGCGCACCCCAACCGCTGCTGCCCACCTTGAGGCGCGCGCGGGCTCTGAAAAGAGGCGGCGACTAGGGCGGCGTCACCGTGTACAGCTCTCCCAGGTCCGCCAGGCCCGCTTCGGGGATGTGCCCGCGATGGGCAGGCAGAAAAAGGGGGTGCGGGCGTTGCCGAGGATGCTGGGCTGATCTTCCACCACCACTACCACGGCTAGGTCTGGGGAGAAGGGGTGATGGGGAGGTCCTCCTCTTCCTCCACCTCTACCTCCTCCTCTTCCTTCTCCTCCTCCTCCTCCTCCTCCTCCTCCTCCTCCTCTTCCTTTTCTTTTTGTTCCTCCTCCTCCTCCTCCTTCCTCCTCCTCCTCCTCATCCTCCTCCTTCTCCTCCTCCTCCCTCGCCCACCTGTGGTGGTGGTGGTGGTGGTGGAAGAAGCGGCCCGTCGGAGGAGGAGGGAGCGGGGGATGCGGCAGCGGGCGCGAGGGGCGCCGAGGCCGCCAGCGGGGCCCTCACGAGCGCAGGATCGGTCCCAGCAAGGGCGATGCTTGATTGCCTCCTCCTCCTCCTCCTCCTTCCTCCTCCTCCTCCTCCTCCATCCCTCCTCCTCCTCCTCCTCCTCCCTCCCTCCTCCTACCTGTTTCTCCTCCTCCTGCTCCTCCTCCTGCTTTCTCCTCCTACTGCTCCTTCCTCCTCCTCATCCTCCTCCTCCTCCCTCCTCCCTCCTTCCCTCCTCCTCCACCTCCTCCTCCTCCTCCTCCACCTCCTCCTCCACCTCCTCCTCCTCCTCCTCCCTCCTCCTCCTCCTCCGCCTCCTCCTCCTACCCTCCTCCCTCCTCCCTCCTCCCTCCTCCCTCCTCCTCCTCCTCCTCCTCCTCGCGAGCCAGCGGGGCCCTCGCGAGCGCAGGGTGGGGCCAGGTCACACGCCCATCGGGTGAGCAGCAGGGAGGGGGGCGAGCACCCCGTGCGAGCGGAAAGTCCGACTCGGGTGAGCTGGGCCGAAGGCGCTGCAACATGCAGCCGCAGCTGAGGCCGAAGCCCAAGCTGACGTGCACTGAAGAACGGGACAGGGCCCACCCTGCAGGTTTGGTCGACAGCACATCGTTGAGCGGTGCTGCAGCCTCCCCTGGGCACCAGCAGGGAGGGGGAGGGAGCGGAGCCAGGGAAGGCGATGGGCGGAACTTGGCAGCGGTCTTTCAGCGTCGGGTGGGGGCACTGCGAGTTCGCGACGTCGTGAGGGGGGACGGGGAGGGTTGGAGCGAGGGGAGGGAGTGCGAGAAGGAGCAGGAGGATAAGGAAAGGGAGGAGGGAGGAGATGAAGAAGGACGAGAGGGGGATGTAGAGAGGAGGTGCGAAGATGGGGGGGAGGCTGTGCTTGTGTATTGTGTATGTGATCCCATCTCATGTTTGCTACCGCTTGGGAGCAGTACGAGCCCGCGACGCGTGGCCATTGCGACGAGATCGGTGTGCGAACAATATGGCCATTGCGCTGGGCCGCGGAGGTCCTGGCCGCCCTTTTGCCGACCCCGGTCGGCGTCTGGTCTCGCTCCTGAGCCGCACTGCCGTGTCAGTAAGAGCAAGGGCCCGAAGCCGATCTGATCTGCCCGCGTTGGCATGGGCGAGCTGGCCGCATGCCAGGCGGTTGCCGTGCCCACTTCTACTGCTCACCGTCTCCGCGACTCCCATTCCCAGTGCATCGCACCAGACCGCAGGGGATCTTGTGAGTGTATTGACTGGGGATGGTGGCCGAGGGTGGGTGGTGGTTGTGAGGATTCTGTATCTGGCCATGGTGAGACGGGCGGGGAGGAGTACGGGGGATGGGAGGCTTGCGTTGGAGGGAGGGACGCATAGCCAGTCAGACGTAGTATTGGGAAGATTGGCCGAAGGCAGGGGTAATGCTGCAAGGCTTCGTCCGCAGGTGCCGTCGATTATGAAGCTGCGTTGTCCCGCCACCGTGCCTGGGTTCTGGGTATGAAGCCTATTGGATATTCGTTGGGATCTCGTGGGAAGCCTCGCGGGGGCCTCTTGGACACAGTTTCGAGACCTCTTGGAGCCCGTTTTGGGGCCTCATTTGGGCCTCTTGAGGACCTTTTAGGGCCTCCTGGGCGCCTCTTGGGGCCTCCTGGGGCCTTAAGGGTGGAAGGCTCCTTGGGCCCCTCTTGGGGCCGTCTTGGGCTCTCTTGGGCCGTCTTGGGCGCCTCTTGGGCCGCCTTGGGGCCCTCTTGGGCCGCTTTGGGGCCCTCTTGGAGCCCTCTTGGGCCGTCCTGGAGCGGTCTTGGGCGACTCTTGAGCCGTCTTGGAGCGTCGGGAAGCCGAAAAGGCGAGAAGCCCAACATCTTTCAAAAACCTACGGACACTTCACGATTGGGGACGCTTGGGGCTCTCTCGGGAGGCCTCTTGGAGGCGGACTCTTGGGGCGTCTTGGGGGCCTCTAGGGCACGTTGTGCCCATTGGGCAAAGGACCTGAAGGCACGCCCGCTCCGTGCCCAGCGGCACGGTGGCAGACACGGCGCTGGTTTCTCAATGCGGAGCTCGCTCGTGAGTTTGGTCGCGTGTGGTTTCCCCCCCAACACACACACTTGGTGCTTGCACCAAGGGGTTCGTTGGCCCGTTGCAGCCCCGTTGTCGCCTTGCTGCTGGCCCTGAGCTCCCGTTGGCGTCCCGCCACCGTCCAGTTGCCACCCGTTGCCGCTCCGTTGGTGGCTCGAGTTAGGGTTGTCGCCCCGTTTCCATACCTCTGTTGCCCCGTTGCTGCTCAGATGCCGCCCCATTGCCCTCCCGCTGCTCTTTGGAATCGAGTTGTTTCTGTGTTGTGTTGCACTGGTATGCATTGTGTTTCGCTGCGTTGCGTTGTGTTGGGTTGCTTTTCGTTGCTTATCCTTGCGTTCATGAGCATTGCTCTGTATCGATGTGTATTGCATTGCCTTGCGTTGCTTTGCATCGTTGAGCCTTGCTTTGCGTCGCTTCGCACTGGTTGGCGTTTGTTTCCTTGCTTCGCTGGGCAATGTGTTGTTCTTTATTGTGTCAGATCTGTTCCACGGTGGACCTACGCTAGGATCACGCTTTACATGTGTAAGGCAGTTTTGGAGTAGAGAAAGGAGTGATGAGTTCCGCATTGTGACCTGCTGCTGACATGGAGCCTATAGTAGTGGATTCCGTGCTGGCTCAGTCCGTGGAAAGGGGTTTGGCTGATGAAGCGTCCGCCATCCCTCGCTTCCTCTTCCTGCTCCTCCACCTCTGGCAATCGCAGAGGCGGCGGCGGAGGATGTTGTGAGATCCCCCCCATGTCCCAAGCAACCGAACTGTCTGCACTAGATGTGGCCTGCGTTGGCGAGGGCTCCTGTTTTTCCAGCTCTCGTCCCTGGCCCTGGTGCAGTTGGGCATCCGGGCATTCTGGTCTTACGCGTGCGTGTCCACAAAGCGGCCTCCGCATACTCCGCATGTGAATCCAAAGGCCGTGTGTCGGTGTGCGTGTGTTCCAGCATCCATCCACACAAGGTGACCAACTTGGGTTGAGCGTATTCCGCCACTGCTGACCTAGTGGCTGCTGACCACCATCGCGTCCGAGAAACATGCTGTTGACGCTTCGCGTATCCCTACCAGCCCATTGAGAAAAGACGCTCAGACAGAAACTGCCGTTGAACGAAAGCTCGCGAGCGGGCGGAACAGGCCCTCTCTTGTGGCCCTCTTAGGGCTATTTTGGGGAGTCTTGGAATCCTCTTGGGGCTCCTTTGGGGTGTCTTGGGGCCTCTTGGGGCTTTCTTTGGGGCCTCTTGGGAGCTTTGGAGGCCTCACGGGCCATCTTGGAGGTCGAAGGGGGTCCCTCACTTGAGGTCCCCCCTGAAAAGCCTTAAACAACACTTATTGGGGCCTTCTTGGTGCCCTCGTGGAGCGTCTTAGGGCCATTTGGGCTTATCTTGGGCTCTTTTGGGCTTTGGGCCATACTGAGGGCATCTTCTGGTCCTGAAAGCCCATCGGAAGCGAGCAGGCGAGCAGGCACACATCATCTATGCTCTGTAGGTTGTTGACGGAATTTGGCGTATCGGGGGGGGTCCCAACCGCTTGTGGCTCTCTCGGGGCCTCTTGGAGGCACGTCAGAACAGCTATTCTAGGATTTTGGTAGCTTTCCCGTGAGCGTCGCAGATGTTCGGGTCTCCCTTCCTTTGGCACTCCCTTCCTCTGGCACTCCCTTCCTTGCCACCCCCTACCGTCTGCTCCAGGAGAGGGGCGAGCAGCGGCGATAGCCGACTGTGGCGACGGGAGCGTGCAGGTTGAGGTCAGCACAGCAGCAGAACAGTGGAGAAGAGAAGGAGGAAGAGGAGGAAAAGGAGGATCGACATAAGGAAGAGGAAGATAAGGATGAGGAGGAGGAAGAGGAGGAGGAGGAGGAATTTCGGCATGAGAATGACGAGGGGGGACGAACAGCTGTTGTCACAGCACCTCGCCGGCGGCCCGAGCATCCTATCGCCTCGGCTCAGCTTTTTGTGACACCTCGTCCCTGCACATCCTTGATGCCAGTCTCTA